GAATGTCTAACGAATGTCCAATATAAAACCAACTTTACCGCGATTGATTTACTGAAGCCAGAGCACGATTTCACGTCTTTGACTGACATAAAAGCAATGCACAAAAGTCCATTTGCACTAACTTCACATCAGTAACTAGACTGCATGTGCAATATCAACTCTTTCATTGTCAGTGAGCAGAGATAGCTGGTTAGCTAATGATATCTCACGCAAATAAGAGCCAAAACTGCTGATATTTCCACTTGATCTCGGTCTAACAAGCACACAATCAAGCTGTCATAACACTCGTGCTAATAACTTGCATCCTTTTAATATGCAACAACAGCGAGGACCTTCACGATATTAGCCTGATAGACAACATGCAAAAACTATGAACTCCGGAAACACTGATATGAGACGAGATGTAGATATTGCATGCAGTTATGTTCATGAAGCACTATTTGAGTGTATAAGAGCTTGTTCAATCCTCTTACCTCGCAGTGTTAGAGTAGATTTGAGCTGCTGTCACTAAAAGTTAGATGTTTGGCCTCTTTTACTCTGAGAGCGGCGTTGATGTTTTTACCGTAATTCCTCTAAATGAGCGGCATTTACACCTGCACGCTAAAGTCATCTGTGGCAAGCTGTTTTAACATTTGTGACCCTGGATCACAAAACCAGGCATAATGGGGTTTTTTTTGTTTGTTTTTGTTTTTTTTAATCATCTGAAATCTGAATAAGTAAGCTTTCCATTGATGTAGGGTTTGTTAGGATCGGACAATATTTGACTGAGATACAACTATTTGAAAATCTGGAATCTGAGGGTGCAAAAAAAAAAAAAAATAAAAATATTGAGAAAATTGCATTTAAAGTTGTCCAAATGAAGTTTTTAGCAATGCATTTTACTAATCAAAAATTAAGTTTTGATGTAGGAAATTTACAAAATATCTTCATGGAACATGATCTTTACTTAATATCCCAATGATTTTTGGCATAAAAGAAAAATCAATAATTTTGACCCATATAATGTATTGTTGGCTATTGCTACGAATATACCCCAGCGACTTAAGACTGCTTTTGTGCTCCAGGGTCACATATATTCCTTTAAAACTAGCTTGTATCTACTTTTACATTACTAGTATTAGGCCTACGTATTTTAATTGGGCCTATTAGTAAACAACCCAATGATACGCGACTTTTAGAGTAGTGTCTAGTGATAGTAATTCATAAATATTTCGTATCTATTGACAAATAATGACTTTTCTCATTTAATTATTATTTCTTTTTTAATTTGTTACCAGTACCAATGGTAGCCTATAGTTAAATCTAAACTACGAGAATAGTCTTTATACTAAATAAATAAAATAATGTATTCTCTCGTTGCTATGTCTTTGTTGTCGTAATTTTCATTTTATTTGCCAAATATTATGATTTAATCCTACAATATTTTATTTAGTTTAGATAACTTTCTATTATTGTATTTTAGTTAGATTTTTATGTGCATTGTGCAACCATGTATTTGTTTTTTTTAGTATTTACTTTTTTTATTTCTTCTTTGCATGTGTGTATATGTGTGTAAGATGCTCTGTTTTTGTTTTTAAGGTGACTTTTTAACATTCTGTCAAGGGTCTACAGATGAAGAATAGCCTTTTTGGCAAATTCTGGCACATTTAAAGTCATGTTTATTAATGTGCATTGCGCCTGTGAACAAATAAACTCTCTCTCTCTCAGTGAAATTGAAAATAGATTGGGCTACTTTAATAAAAAAAGGAGACATCAGTAAGTGTCAGAAGGTGTGTAAACTTTTTGAATTAAATGCATGGTAAATTGTACTTTTTTTTGTCTTCTGGTAACATAAGTATTAGCTTCTTGAAGGGTACTAAATGAAAAAAAGAGATCTTTAAACAAATTTTACACATCAATTCAACACATTCAAAACACATAGAGACATCAGTAAGTGTCAGAAGGTGTGTAAACTTTTTGAATTAAATGCATGGTAAATTGTACTTTTTTTGTCTTCTGGTAACATAAGTATTAGCTTCTTGAAGGGTACTAAATGAAAAAAAGAGATCTTTAAACAAATTTTACACATCAATTCAACACATTCAAAACACATTTCCTCTCATTTAGTTAAATTATTAAAATGTTGCATATTCTGCAAGGGGAACATAAGACTTATAAGCAGAACTGTAGCTTAGTATGCTTTTGCAGAGTTTATAATAATCAGTTTTGACTAATTGTTTATAATATTATGTGTATTACGGTAATGATTCGGGCGCTTCTGCGCCTGTTTCTCTGCTCGGTTATGAATGTATGTAAAGGTCATAGTTAGTTCATTATCATTGTAGGCTAATAAACACCACAGAGCATATTTTTAACATCCGTTTTCATGCTTACATAATTTAGTAAGAGTATCTGATTCATATGCATGAATCTGATAGCCTATACAAATATAATTTGCAGTCTGTAGACATGAGTCAATTTCAAAACTTCCTGTGCATTAAACGAGGAGCATTAAATGTAATTTGATTTCAAGAACATCATGTACAATAAGACGCTCAAACATCACAGCTGAGATAAATATAGTACATGTGGTTCTGTGAAGCGGTTATCAAAGGCTCTGAAGCCGAGAGATATGCCTTATCACAAAAACATACAGGTGATTTTTATTTGCAATCAATAATCTGTTTTAGCAGCAGTTATATCAGAGCAATAAACTAGACCGCAGTGTCACTTATTGCTTTTTTTTTTAATGGTGGCAAACAGTGTTGGGGAAAGTTACTTTTAAAAGTAATGCATTAAAATATTGAGTTATTACCGGAAATGTAATTGCGTTAGTTACTTTTTATAGAAAGTAACTTTTGCATTACTTTTTCTCATCTGGACTGGGCTTGCTTGTTTGTTTTAAATATAAAAAGTTCTATTTTTGGCCCTTGCACACCAAAAGTGACAATATTTCTGGAGTCATTTCACATTTATTTGTTGTAACTTCAAATCCAAGTTTGAATATGATCTGGTGCATGAGTAAAGGCTTTGACCCTGCTGAGGTCTGGAAGGAGTGCTTTGGTTGTTGTGGATTGTAAGTGGCTTGGCTCGAGGCTCGGGTGAAGCGAGTGAAGTGAATAGTGTTAGCGATGAAGCTCCTTCCTCCTCCGGCTGCCTTCTCTGATTCTCTGCATCCTGTAGGTCTTTCGGGCCACTTCACGCTCTTTCTCCTGCACCTCTGTGTCATCCAGCACCTCCAGACCGGGGATCTGACTGATCACATACTGCCTGTCATATACACAAATAGAGTAGTTAGTATGGACTGTAATAGTATATTATGTGACCCGCAGTCTTAAGTCTCTGGGGTATATTTGTAGCAATAGCCAACAATACATTGTATGGGTCAAAATTATCCATTTTTCTTTTATGCCAAAAATCATTAGGATATTAAGTAAAGATCATGTTCCATGAAGATATTTTGTAAATTTCCTACCGTAAATATATCAAAACTTAATTTTTGATTAGTAATATGCATTGCTAAGGACTTCATTTGGACAACTTTAAAGGCGATTTTCTCAATATTTTGATTTTTTTGCACCCTCAGATTCCAGATTTTCAAATAGTTGTATCTCAGGCAAATATAGTCCTATCATAACATAACCATACATCAATGGAAAGCTTATTTATTCAGCTTTCAGATGATGTATAAATCGCAGTTTCAAAAAATTTACACATATATCCAGGGTCACATATATAATACAATACAATACAATGCAATGCAATGCAATGCAATACAATACAATACAATACAATACAATATAATATAATAGTAGGTAGTACTCTACATATTAGGTTGTTCAGATTGAATATTGAACATATGGGACTGGCACAAATACTAAAGCACAGCTTGCTTTGTTATTGTATTGAGAACTTGTATTGCAAAACATGACCACTAGATGGCAGTACACACTTTTGAAGGAGAAGTGTGCTTAATTGTATTGAGTGTGCACTTGTAGTGTACTTTAAATCTGGGAAGCATATATTTAAAAAGCTTTAAGTGCAGATAATATAATATTAATTAATTAAAAGGCCACTTAAGTGACTTAAAGTGAAACACTTTCATGACTGTTTCTTAACACACTTAAGTACACGTTTAAAAAGTGACCTTTGTAATAATGTCAAATTAAACGTTTAACTTAAAGTGCATTTTAAATCATCATGTTTTAATAATCTTTTGTCGGGCCTAAAGACGTAGCTAGACTTATTTTTGAAACACATGTAAAGTACTTGCTTAGAATTTGAACTGTAGTGTGTTATTCAATATTACATTTAAAGTTGATATATTTTAAATGCACTGAATTGCAGTATCATCATTACAAATGTGTAATTACAAATGTATTTAAATACATGACATACAAGTTTCAACAGAAATGAAAATAAAGTATAGTTTCGTTTTCAGCAGTACTTTAACCATATTTCAAAGACAATAGAAGTAATTATGAAATTACATATAAATATGCACTTAAGTCATACTTAAGTGGGTCAAAACGCACCATAAAATTTAGCAAATTGCAGGTGACATAAATTTAAATTATAATAGATTTTCTTTAATTGTATTTAACATGCAATTAAGTATCCAAAAGCATTACATTCAGTTCAAACTTAAGTATATTCTTTTTCCATAACAAATGTTCCTTTGAAAGTATGCTAAAGCGTACATCTTCTTCAAAAGGGTATGTACCATCTGAAGTTCTCGAAACAGATCAAAAGTCCAGGATGAATGTTAACATAGTAAAATGTATACTGTATATTGGCAATACAATACTTACTACATAACTGCATATTTCAATACATCTCCTCTTCTCAAGCTTACCTGTAATCCATATACTGCGTGAGACTGCCTCCATTAAAGTAACTGGGTGCCGCTTCATTGTTCATCATACTGAGAATTCTACAATGAAACCAAACAGATAAATCACTGGAGGTATAAAAACACTATATCTACAGAGTAGTTAATGCATGAGTGAATGGGATTCTGAACTCACTTGATATTTGGGAACTTGCAGCAGATCTCCTCCACAATAATGGGCAGGTTGCTGATTTTGTTCTTGTTGATCCACAGGGTGGTGAGGCTGGGCATGTAGGGGAATTTGACATGCGCGCTGTAGTTGTTGCAGTCCAGGATGAGTGTGCTGAGCTTCTCCAAACTGCCCAAAAGAGCCGGGTTCCGTTAGCAACTCAATTAAGGTCAATCACGTGAGAAGTTAACCCTACACAGTCAAACCAAAAATGTGACCCTGGACCACAAAACCAGTCATAAGGGTCAATTTTTTTAAATTGAGATTTGTACATTTATACAATATTTGGCTGAGATACAACTATTTGAAAATCTGGAATCTGTTCCTCATACGTATATATTTAGTCATTTAGCAGACGCTTTTATCCAAAGCGACTTACAAATGAGAACAATAGAAGCAATCAAAATCAACAAGAGAGCAAAGTTGTGCAAGTGCTATAACAAGTCTCAGCTTAACGCAGTACACGTAGCAAGTTTTTTTTTATTATTATATATTAAAGAAAAAGAAAAAGAATAGAGCAAGCTAGTGTTAGAGGCCTTTTTTTGCTTTTTGATAATTGCATAATAAATAAAAAGAAAACACAGATAGAATACAAAAAGTATAGAGAAGCTGTTGTGTTTTTTTTTAATAAAGAAAACAAGCAGTTAGTAAATTAATAGAGTGCTAAATATATTGTATATAAATATACAATATAATAAATATATCGTCTAAAGATTAACAAAGATACATATAAGAAAACGTTATAATGTAGCTACACACATGACAAAGACATCTGATTCCCAAAAGGTTACTCGTCCAGCAAGTTGTAACTGAGGTCCAGAACCTCCAGAGTGTCCCGCTGCTGAAGGATGGTGTCGTGGGGAAGCTCCATGAGGCTCTGGTAGGCCAAAGAGAGTCTCTGGAGGCCCAGCACCACAGCAGGGCCTCCGGGGGCCGAGGGCCCGGTCTCCATGTCCTTGCTCTCACACTCTTCACTGCTCCTCCACCACGGCATCAGGACACATAATGAGCGGATCCACCTCCTGACACTGTCAAAAAGATGTTTGAGGGTTAGTTAAGGGTGGAGTTACTCTGGTACATGGTCAATTTATGCCAAGAATTCTGGGTACATTTGGTGAAAGTACACTGTAAAAAAAAAAAAGAAAATCTAATTTTTTTTGAGTGGAATTGGTTTCAAAGTATATCCTACACCAACTTTTTTTTAGAACAAATACGATGTACATGACACATTGTATATCTCAGCATTATGATTCAAATATATTTTACATTTTCTAGTCGCAGTCAGGAGCTCACAAATATCAAAATACCTTCAGAATATTGACGCACGTTGTACTAATGAAGAAATCCACAATCAAACTGAGTTCTTCTGCTAAACTGTGACAGTCCAAGAAATCAAAACTGGCCAAGACTGAGTAGGCTATTATTTAAAGGGTAATATGAATCCTCATTTAATAGGTATGAGGTCGTCTTCATATATAAAACCAATACTCATCAAATCCTAATTAGATTCTTAGAATATAAATGGGAAGTTAGGGCAAGGCTACATTCACCTCAGTATGACTCAGAATGAACTGATATTTCATAAGGCTGCAGCCAAATAAAGTAACACAACACCAAGCCTATTGAATTGTATTAATATATCATTAATAGGCTACATTATTCAAATAAATAATATCAGGTGGTGCTTTTTTAAAACCTGGATCACACTTTAATATTTCTTAAAGTATTTTTCTTCAGAAATTAACTGTATGGTATTCATCAGAATTTCCCCAAAACGCAGATGCAAAAAAAGGAATTCACCACAGTCACGAAGATCACAAAGAGTTGAAAGAGAAAACATGATTTCAGTGCATATGAAAGATCGGGCACTTCAGAAAGAGAAAGCGTGATATGAAACTTGTGATAGATACATCAGGATTACAGAAAAGAGCAGTCATTTCAATCCAACCTGACATATTTACATGACATATTTTCACATCGATGCCATAAAAGAACCAATTTTTTGGTTCACCAAAGAACCTTAAAGGGATAGTTCACCCAAAAATGAAAATTCTGTCATCATTTACTCACCCTCATGTCGTTCCAAACCTGTATGAGTTGCTTTCTTATGTTGAACACAAAAGAAGATATTTTGAAGATTGCTGGTAATCAAACAGTTGGTGGTTGCCATTGACTTCCATAGTAGGAAAAAAAATACTATGGAAGTCAATGGCAACCACCAACCGCAAAAGTGACTCAGTCCTAAAATCTTAAAGGGATAGTTCACCTAAAAATGAAAATTCTGTCATCATTTACTCATTTAATCATTTAGATTGCTGGTAATCAGACAGTTGGTAGTTGCCATTGACTTCCATAGTATTTTTTTTCCTACTATGGAAGTCAATGGCAACCACCAACTGTTTGATTACCAGCAATCTTCAAAATATCTTCTTTTGTGTTCAACATAAGAAAGCAACTCATACAGGTTTGGAATGACATGAGGGTGAGTAAATGATGACAGAATTTTCATTTTTGGGTGAACTATCCCTTTAAAGTGAACAATTCTTGAAAGTTTTTTTTTTTGTGTGTGAAAACTTAAAGAATCCTTTTCCACTATGAAGAACAATTTGTGGAATTGCAAGTTTCCATGGATGTTAAAGGTTCTTCACGGAACCACAGAGCTTTAAACTTTTTAATCTTTTAAATATTTTTAAAAGTGTAAGTAACATTTTGACACAGTTTTTTTTCATTATTGACAC